ACACACACACACACACACACACACGTCTGGTCAGCTATCCTTGTGGGGACTCTCCATAGGCGTAATGGTTTTTCTACTGTACAGACCGTATTTTCTATTGCTCTACACCAACCCTACCCCTAAGCCTACCCCTCACAGGAAACTTTCTGCATTTTTAGATTTTCAAAAAACTTAATTCTGTATGATTTATAAGCTTTTGTACCCATGGGGACCACAATTTAGGTCCCCACTCTGACACGAGTCCCCATGAGTCTGTGTGTAGTCAGGTTTAAGTCCCCACCAGGATATATAAACCAGTACACACATCACACACACACACACACACATACATTCGACATCTTACACCTACTGTCTACTTTTGGCTGAACGGGCTGACTAAAACAAGCCCCATTTTTAAACTCTAGTATTTCTTGTCCAAAGTTTCCATTTCATAACCCTCCTTTGCTACCCAGTGTGCTAAACATTTAAGGTGTGGCAAAGTAAAAGTATGATGTTAAAACACTAATCAGTCTTAAAGTGCATATTAGAGCTCTTTTTAACGACACTCTTCTCACAGAGAGGGTTTAGTTTAACCATGACAACCTGACGCAAGGGGAAAAGCTGCAGAAAGGTGTTAGAGTTCTTAGCCCTATACTAATGACCCTCGGGTTCTGTCTACTTTTCACAGAGGACTTGGATCTCGAGCAAGCCCTCATCAGTTGGCTCATCGCAAGGTTTTCACAATGTTTTTTTACTCTGCATTTCTGTGCGAGTTTTATGAACCATATTCTCATGCCTTTGTCATGTGTTCTACAAACACATCAGGCACACAGAGGATGGTCCAGATATCATTTAGGATTACATTCATCATTGAAGTGTTAAAGGCCTCATGTTAGTGTGGTCCTGCTGTCTGTCTTCAACAAATAGGCAACATCTAATAGTGGAGAATATTCATAGCAAAACCTGCTATAGCGGCTATAAAGGCCTTTGAAAGACACTTATATTGTCAGGTACTGTCACTGATAAATAATCTCACTTTAATCTTTACAGACTCAGGAACGAATAATGATTATTATCATTACCAAATTTATCCTGGAAAAATTCTTTATACATAAGCTAAGCTATTTTTGTTAATGGATATATTTATGAAGAATAAACATGCCATTAAAATTTATTAGAAAACCTTGGAATTTTTGCTTTATGACGTATTTATTTTATTTAAATTTATATTACGTTTTTTTTGTTATTCATGTATCTGCTCAGATGTGTAATGTTTTGAATAGGTTTCATTTGAATTGTTGTCAGATTTGTAGTAATCTTGTTGTCTGTTTTTGTCATTTTTATTGTTTTTTTTAAATAGGTCTCTATATAATTTGTATTCATTTTATTTCAGTTTTAGTTATTTTACTACAAGATAATGAAAATAAGAAATGTTGCCTTGCTGAAATAAAAAAAGTTTAAGTTTTTAATATTTTATTTTATTTAAGTAAATGTTTATTTTATTTCAAGTAATGGATGTTTTTTTTTTAAGTTAAATATAATAACCCTGCTGTTTGGTCTAATTTATATCTTGATGCATTGTTTGTTGTAGGCTACATTTCCAATTTTTGGGAAAAAAAATTCTTGTTTGTCTCATAACAACAACTCAGGAGGTATGTTGAACTTTAACATGTCTTGCTCTATTTTGAATTTAACCGGACAATGTTGCACTTTTAAATCAAATGAACAATAGAGCATGTGTTAACTCAATGACTATCAAGTAAAGTTAATTGTCACATTTTGACCGCTGCCTACAAAAATAGTAAGATATATGCTTTGATACACAACACCAAATCGTCAATATTTCACCCCCAAAATAGCAGCTTCGGAAAAGTGACACCCCAACCTTCTGTTCTCCCAAACATCTGGTAAACTCAAATGAGTAACATTCCTGAGGCTCATACGCACTGGCTCCTCCTCTTTGAAAGATGAGCGATTAGAGTTTATGAAAATTGGGAATGTCTGATTGGTCACGACACCTGTCAATCACGAGCTTACGGACGCGAGGGGCGGGCTTAGCGGATCTAAGAGGTTGTGCCAGTGTCAGTGGCGTTCCTCATTCTTGACTAACCAAACAACACACAGTGAGATGAGGCGGACAACATTCACAAACACCAGTACTCCGGCGTTTCTTTTCCATCATGCTGACACAGAACGCGCGCATTTGGTGTTGTTTTGAAGCTTGATATTATTTGGTGACCCGCAATTCCTCCGCTCTCCTGCGTATCTGTGAACAAATGTGCATTTTTTGCACGTGTTAGATACAGATTGTTTGACGCGAGCTGGATAAGTGAGAGAAGTTAGGAACCGGCGGTGCTTTTTAACTTGTTGCGCGGTGATGCAAGTGTCCTCTTGCGCAAGAGAATGATTCATGAGCCAGTTATTATACATAGCATTTGTTCTTCGAGCTGTGTGACTGGTAAAAGTTGCTTTAGGATGGGCTCAAGGAACGAGATCCATTCTCAATCTGCCGTACAGCCTGCGCAATTAAGTTAAATTGGACTACCGGAGCTACCCACATCCACAGACCCATATCAAGAGTTGGATGTGGATGTTCTTGGGTTCAAATACAGAGTGAAATAATACTGATTTCCCAACAACTAATCCTGATACTGGAGATGTCGGAGTCCTACGAGGACGGGGTGTGCGGGGATGGAGCTCCGGACTTCATCCCACCGAGAGCGATTCGATCAGGCCGGCGGAGTGGACTCGGCGTGCCGCTGGTGGAGCGCGATGAGGCGGCTCTCCTAGAGTCGGTGAAAGCGGCGCCGAGGAGGAGCAGCATCATTAAGGTAATAGCAGAAACACACCTGTGAGTTGTTAAGAGTTTGGTAATGTAAATCGTACTCGATCTGGTCTTTTCAAACGAAAGTATAACTGTAATTCAGATCGTGGAATAGAGTGCGATAGACCCCTCACCAAGTAAACAACAGCATGTGTCCTTGCATTTCCTACAGGTTATGACACATTCAGTTCTCTCGGACATGCCTGAGGGTTTGTGACGTGATCAAGGTCACAGTTGTGGTACTTTATGGATCCTTGTAAGGTTTTACTTACAACCTTTTTAGTTACCAGCCTAGATTACAGGATGCATCAGGGTGTAGCAGCCCTTCCACTGGTTTTGCTTCAGGACCCAGATCGGATGTGGCCACCCAACATGCTACTATAAGTGTCTATAGTAAAATTAACACATTTTCTTAAAATAAAACATTGAAACATTTTAATATTATCTTTAGAGATTGAGGGTAGCTTTCCATATTGACATCTGGCCAGATTCTGGTAAACACAGAGCGAAAGTTCCATTTAACATACTGGATTTGATAGCCTATCAACATTTTCTCTTCTCTTTTTAGAAGTACTGTGAAAAATATGATTATTCACATTTTATTATTTGCCTTTTGCATTGTTTTCAGACCTGTGACCCATTTAGGGTTTAGAACTTCCACAGCCTGGTTTGGAACTTTGGCTTACATACTTTGATGTAACCATCACGTCAGGATTCTGTTATTCACATTCCTTATGAATTGAAATTATTTTCAGTATATCATATACTTAAGTACAACTCTGAGCCCACTGGTCAGCATTACAGATCTTTTTACAGATTACAGATCGTTTGATTCACACCTCCTCACCTGTGAAATCACCTGACAGTAGATCTTTAATCACAAGAGAAAAGCTTTTGCGCCTTGGAATTGTGATCCTGCAATAAGTTGATGTTCTTTCTTCTAGACCTTCATAATTATTAATGCTGTTTTCTTGTCTGTCATCCACATGGGGTAAAAAACGTAGGGGTTTTTCAGTTCAGGAAGGATTTTTTATGTCACTAAACTAGTCATTAAGTAACATAACCATAGACTTTTGGACTGCTTTTCTAGGATGGAAGCATTTTAGTCCACTGTAACAGAAAGTTCAGTGAAATGAAAAGAGCCAGAGGCCGTTTTCCACAGAATGGTTGTGACAGTATGTAAACAGCAAGGCCATTGTGACCTAAAGGTTGACCTGAAATAATTCCATTTTGCAAGAATAAAGCGTAGACAATGACTTCAAAGAGATGAATAAAATACCCATATTTACCAAGAAAGAACTTTCTCAGCACTTATAAGAATTACTGAAGAAAAGGACATGTTAAGAGGTCAGATTAATAGCCAGACGTGTTTGAAACACACAAATGCCCTTAGGGTCTTGGGCTTACTAATGCTTTAGATAATCATTGATCTAGTGTTACGGAGTAATGCAGCAATGACTCTACATCAGTGGTCTGCAGTGAAGGTCAGCCAATTAGCTTCAGCTTTATCAGGTAGAAGGATTAAGGAGCAAGCCAGCGACTACGAGGGGTGTCTAGCTATTAGAAACCACACATGTAGAGTTTTTGTAAAGCACAGCACTTGCTCTAGTGGCTGTTGTTGCAATGTGATATAAAATGTTAATTGTGCTCATTGTGTTTGCATGGTCGTAATTAAAACCTTTGAGTCTTTTGTGATGTTCTCTTAGTTACAGTTCAAATTCTTCTTGTTTTTAGACCTTATATTTTGCATTTACGACAGTGAAGCTCCAGAGAAGCTGGTGCTGCTACTCCTCACAAGACTGTAATGCGTATTTGGGTGCTGCCCATTACCAAGTTCAGTCCTTTCAGTGCTCAAATAGGCTGTCTTAGTTCAGTGAGCAGGAAGTGGCATAGGGTAATTGACAGATGGCAAAGAAGCTGATGATGTCAGTGACAGGCACTGTTGATAGAGCGGAGAGAGGAGGCAGCGTTCATGTGACTCATCCCAGCCCGGGTTCTTGGATCTGTTTGTTTGAGATCCAGAATGTGAGTAATGTTTCCTGTCCTCAGCCAAAGTGTGCAGCCCTTCAGTACAATGTTCAGAGCCATCATTGTTTTTAAATGGATGCAGAACTTGTTGCTTATACCTATTTAATACAGACTTAAGAACTTGTTGCTTGTTATCTGCAGAACTCCCTCTGTGCAGTAGTGCACCACACATCAGCGTAATAAGCAAATGGAGTTGAACCTACAGCATCCCTGATGGCTGTTCTTGGTGAGGGAATGACCTAAAGTTTCCCAGATTAATTTGCTATACATGCGTTCTTGAACTGCTAAGCATTTGCAATTGTTGACAGTCTGGATAATAGCCACTTAATGACTTGCTTGTTTGGAAGGTACTTGTGCTCTCATGGTTGAATAAAAGAAATTGTAGGCCTACGTACATTTAATTGTATGTGGACAGTGGAAGGGTTGTTAATTAGGAATATGAGTAATGTGTCAAAATTGTACTCTGTATAGGTCAGAATATCCAGTCAAAAACATACAAGCGAATACAAAATGTTTAATTTATTTGTACTTAATTATTTAAAACGAATATATTTTTGTTAGCTCTAGAAATCAAAGATTTTCCAGAACTTCTAGTGTGTAGATTTTGTTTTTGATGTAAGTTTAATGCGCAATTATATATTGTAAATTATTTTTTATATTTTGAAAAGTAACCTCACTAACCTGTTATTAATTGGATTAGATTATTTCAGTAAAATGGAAAAAAAAAAGAATTAACTCATGCAGACCTGTGAATTGTTATTTGTACTTTGAAGGTCTAAATGACATTATGAAAGAAATTGAAGAGTATAGATATTCAGATTCTGTAATAAAAAAATTCACAGAAATATATTTTTAGATATAGTAAAGAAGTACAGTTGCTCAAGTAGTTTATATGTATGCTGTGTTTTGGTATGATTTTCAGAAAAGGACATGTTAAGAGGTCAGATTAATAGCCAGACGTGTTTGAAACACACAAATGCCCTTAGGGTCTTGGGCTTACTAATGCTTTAGATAATCATTGATCTAGTGTTACGGAGTAATGCAGCAATGACTCTACATCAGTGGTCTGCAGTGAAGGTCAGCCAATTAGCTTCAGCTTTATCAGGTAGAAGGATTAAGGAGCAAGCCAGCGACTACGAGGGGTGTCTAGCTATTAGAAACCACACATGTAGAGTTTTTGTAAAGCACAGCACTTGCTCTAGTGGCTGTTGTTGCAATGTGATATAAAATGTTAATTGTGCTCATTGTGTTTGCATGGTCGTAATTAAAACCTTTGAGTCTTTTGTGATGTTCTCTTAGTTACAGTTCAAATTCTTCTTGTTTTTAGACCTTATATTTTGCATTTACGACAGTGAAGCTCCAGAGAAGCTGGTGCTGCTACTCCTCACAAGACTGTAATGCGTATTTGGGTGCTGCCCATTACCAAGTTCAGTCCTTTCAGTGCTCAAATAGGCTGTCTTAGTTCAGTGAGCAGGAAGTGGCATAGGGTAATTGACAGATGGCAAAGAAGCTGATGATGTCAGTGACAGGCACTGTTGATAGAGCGGAGAGAGGAGGCAGCGTTCATGTGACTCATCCCAGCCCGGGTTCTTGGATCTGTTTGTTTGAGATCCAGAATGTGAGTAATGTTTCCTGTCCTCAGCCAAAGTGTGCAGCCCTTCAGTACAATGTTCAGAGCCATCATTGTTTTTAAATGGATGCAGAACTTGTTGCTTATACCTATTTAATACAGACTTAAGAACTTGTTGCTTGTTATCTGCAGAACTCCCTCTGTGCAGTAGTGCACCACACATCAGCGTAATAAGCAAATGGAGTTGAACCTACAGCATCCCTGATGGCTGTTCTTGGTGAGGGAATGACCTAAAGTTTCCCAGATTAATTTGCTATACATGCGTTCTTGAACTGCTAAGCATTTGCAATTGTTGACAGTCTGGATAATAGCCACTTAATGACTTGCTTGTTTGGAAGGTACTTGTGCTCTCATGGTTGAATAAAAGAAATTGTAGGCCTACGTACATTTAATTGTATGTGGACAGTGGAAGGGTTGTTAATTAGGAATATGAGTAATGTGTCAAAATTTTACTCTGTATAGGTCAGAATATCCAGTCAAAAACATACAAGCGAATACAAAATGTTTAATTTATTTGTACTTAATTATTTAAAAATTATTTAAATATTTTTGTTAGCTCTAGAAATCAAAGATTTTCCAGAACTTCTAGTGTGTAGATTTAGTTTTTGATGTAAGTTTAATGCGCAATTATATATTGTAAATTATTTTTTATATTTTGAAAAGTAACCTCACTAACCTGTTATTAATTGGATTAGATTATTTCAGTAAAATGGAAAAAAAAAAGAATTAACTCATGCAGACCTGTGAATTGTTATTTGTACTTTGAAGGTCTAAATGACATTATGAAAGAAATTGAAGAGTATAGATATTCAGATTCTGTAATAAAAAAATTCACAGAAATATATTTTTAGATATAGTAAAGAAGTACAGTTGCTCAAGTAGTTTATATGTATGCTGTGTTTTGGTATGATTTTCATGAGGAAATTGGAAACCACTCAAATTTAGTGAGCATTGACAGTGAGCTTTAGGATGAGCAGAAAAACAAACTTGGGGAAGCCCGTACACAGAGCCCTGGGGAACACCTTGCTTGTTTTTCAGCCTCCTGAGCACTTTCCATTTAATCAGTGCTGCCTGACTACAGCTTATTATTATTATAGTATATCCATTACAATGTTCCACACAATCCCTACCTCACATTTCGCCATATTTGCTGTAATTCAAGATACCCATCCTTTTATTTCTACTTTGCCATTCTCTGCCAGTCTCTGTCCCACTTTTTACTTCTTTTCCCACTCAGGTCTCTTTAGCTGTCCCTCTCCCCTCAGTGTTCTCATGCAAACAAAAACAATATCTAATTTTGCTCATTAAAGATTAGTTCATTCAAAAATGAAAACTGTTATCACTTCCCC